GGGCGGGGAGCGCGCCTCTCGGCCCCTGGTAAACGAGCTGCTTCGCTCCGAGCTCCGTGGGGCTTCAAGCTCAACTCGGGCCGGGAGTTGGCGCTGAGCGAGCCTGCTTATCGCGGCTGTGAGTCACCGCTGGTTGGAGTCATCGCTCCCCAGCCCTTGCCTCCCCAGGCGAGGCTGTGTGTGCGCGTCTGCGTGTTTGAAGGGATGTTTTCCATGGCAGTTTCTTGCTATCTTTAGAAACAAGGGAGGAAGCTGTGTGTAAGCTGTTACTGTGTGTAAGTTATTCCAAGAGAAGTTTTACACAGTCTTTGTGTGTGCTTGTAAGCAAACTTTCTGGAGAGGCTTTGCCCTCGTCTTCACAACTTCCTGACACTGACAAACTGACTTCTCCCCTCCCCTCCCCACATTACTGAGTGACCATCAACAACCTTTCAGTCACCACTCCCTGTTGAGTTTATGAAATGACTCCTTGAGGTATTTTCTTCCTTATAGAGGAGGTATGTGGCAGTTTTAAACAATGTACTTCAGCTCGTTGTGCTTCTGTCTGTAGAAGACAAGCTGTGACAAGATTACATGAGCTTAGTTTAGAGCCAGTGATAACTCATTATCCTGGTTATTATGTTAACACTGCATTTCATGCTGACTCGAATAAACTGTTTATTTGCAGTGTCCATGGGGAGCCCCCAACACCACATCAATATCCTGCTCCCTTGCTGACGTCATGAGTGAACAGCTGGCAAAAGAGCTGCAGCTGGAAGAGGAAAATGCTGCTTTCCCTGAAGTGGTTGCGTGAGTGTAAATCCTGGATTAGTGATCTCCAGGCTTGTGAAGCCATCTTCTGCCTCTTGTGCATTTTCTTACAACCTGCTCGTGGTGTAGCAGCACAGGAAATGCTTTGTCTCTTATCTCCTCATTCTTCAGATCTTTTTCAGTGGGCTTCTGCAGTTAAAAATCTTCCTCGGAGTCTCTTCTCTGACCCTTCCTTCTTTCTTGATATTTTCTCTACAGTTTTTGGGGTGCTTTAAGCCAGTTTGTAAGCTAGGGTTTGAGAAATATTATCAGAAAAGGTGTGTTTTTTAATTTCCATTTAAAGACTCTTGTTACAGTTAATGTTAAGAATGTTTTTTCAAGAACTCTCAAGTGTACCACGTGTATTTCCTAATACTTGGAAACTCTAAACACAGGCTAAGAGCTTATTAATTCTAAACTGTACATTTTAGAACTGTAATTCTAAATGTCAATTTTGCCTGCAGCAAGTTAACACTTCTTAAAAAAAAAGTTTTATTTATTTTTAAAGAAATATTTACACACATAACACTTGTGTGCATTCTTTCCCTTTCATGAAGGGCATCTTAAAAAGAGAGCCTAATGCTTCTTACAGAGTGGTAAACTAGTAAAAATTTAAGTAATATTTTCATGGTAAAGGAATGGCAAGGAGAAATGAAGTCATGTTTTATGAAGTAGTGGCTTGGAGGGGGGTGAGCAGCTGAGATCTGTTAGTCCCTGTGCAGCTCTGGGTGAAGTCTTGTCTAGAGCAATGAAACAGTATATAAAACAATGTTTCTGTTTAGATTGCTGTGTTTATATTTTACAATTTCTGCTCTCATTTTACACAGTGTTGCTGAAGGACCCTTTATCACAGGAGAAAACATTGACACCTCTAGTGACCTGATGCTGGCTCAGATGCTGCAGATGGAGTTTGACAGGGAGTACGACGCGCAGCTGCGGCGTGAGGAGAAGAAGATCAATGGAGACAGCAAAGGTACCCTCATCAGAAGAAATATTTCTCCTTTTGAGACCATTCTTGACACTCTGCTGAAGCTGAGAGGGCTGGGAGGAGGTGGCAAATTCCTGGTAATCACAGTCGTGGTTGTTTGTTTTGTTTCTCAAGTCTCCATATCCTTTGAAAACTATCGGAAGGTGCATCCCTATGACAGTGACAGCTCTGAGGATGAGGTGGATTGGCAGGACACCCGTCATGATCCTTACAGAGCAGGTGTGTGGCAGTTTAAAGCAATAGTTTCTTTGGCTAATAAACCTAATGAGGTGTTTTGGAGGTAAGGAGACACACCAGCTGCATGTGAAATCAGGTCACTGAACTGGGAGGTGTTAGGCAGAGAGCTGGGCAAGTAACTTCAAGCTTCTGGTTGCCAGTGTATTGGCTTCAGTGAACAAAATAACTGTTGTACATAGAAAATATTGTGGGCTATCTATCATTCCATTTGGCTAAAGACATCTGAACAGTAGTGAGCACTCCAGTCTTTAATGTGCCAAAAGTGCATCTGACATCCCAGGGAAGAGACAGAAGTCAGTCATAATGGCAAGATGAGCTGCCATGTTCAGGAAAAGAGAAGAATGTGTTGGTATTACACAATTGAAGTGCTTTATTCTGTTTAATAAATAAAATTGTTACCTTTAGGGATGTTGTGGAACCTTTATCATTAGTTAGGTTTGTTTAGATGTAAAGTTTGATTTATTTTTCTCCCTGCTGGCAGATAAACCTACTACTACACCAAGAAAGGGCTTCACAGGGAAAGGGAAAGACATCACCACTAAACATGATGAGGTGGTGTGTGGGAGGAAGAACACTGCTCGCATGGAGAATGTAAGTAAAAACTTCCAGAAGCTTATTCTGTGTATAAAGCTGGAATGCTGTAATTCAACCAAAGAGTTAATGCTTGTCCACTTGTGCTCATGCAAGCAGTGCTGATTTTTGTTTTTATTTTCATCAGATGAGAAAGCCAGGCTGTGTTTGGATCAGTTATTGAAATGAGCGGTTTGAGCTGTGCAGGTGTCTTGTTTAAAACTATATTGTGAGTGACCATGATTAAAAACTTTGCACAGAGCTGTTTTGGCAAAATAAAACTATCAGCAAGTTTGGTTCACAGGCAAATAAAGCACCAAGGCTATTTTTGAAAAGCATGGTTGTCATGTCACCTATTTTTTTTTTAATTAACTTTGCCAGAAGAGCCATTTTCAATCAGTTGTTGGACTTTACAGCTTTTCAGTCTTTATACCTACCTCCTATTTTCTTTAATGCAACTGGAGCAGCTTCTGCAAATAAGGAAATGCTGCAAATGCTCTTTTTAGAGGATGTTGGGTAACCTCCTATTGATTTGGGCAGGACTCCAAGCTCTGAGTTTAGAGCCCTGTGTTTTTCAACACAGGGATGTTACACAAAGTGGGTTTCGTGTGGCTTCTGACCTACCCTAGGTGTTTGCAATCAGAATGAGAAATTTCTGCTTGTGCCAACTCCTGGTGTCTGCTAGTAACAATGCTTAAATTTCTGTTACTTCTGCTTGTAGTTTGCACCTGAATTCCAAGTAGGGGATGGAATTGGGATGGACTTAAAGCTGTCAAATCAAGTCTTCAATGCCTTAAAACAACACGCCTACTCCGAGGAGCGTCGAAGTGCAAGGCTCCATGAGAAGAAGGAGCACTCCACAGCTGTAAGTTCTTGATAAAATCTTTCTGTCTACTTGTTGTCTTGTGTAAAACCTGAACACTGTTCTGGTAATTCCATGAAGCATTCTATTTTTAGTAAAACAGTTCAGTGATAGTGTGTTAACATGGCTGCAGGAGATGGTGTTAGCCAGCTCCTACTAGAAAAAGGCTCTTTGTTTCAGCTGTATTACTGTCAGGGCCAGATCAAAATAAGAGTGAGCACTTCCTTTTTTTTTACCTCTTTGTCTTTCTAAACATAGCTCTTAATCAACTACAAGGAATAAATTTACTGATAGAAACCATCCAGAGGACTAATCCTCTGCAGTTCAACCATGTGACTCCAAATACGTCTTCACAGCAAGTTTCAGGAAGGAGAGGTGACCCAAGTAAACTCTGACTTAATAATTTAGGGAGTCAGTTGATGGTGAGTTTAGAGCAGGGGGTCTGACAATTTATTCTGTGGAATTCTTCACATTTGGGTGTTTTATCGTTATGGATATAAAATGAAACATAATATGTGGGATATTTTGATTTGTGATTTGTAAAGACTTCTTGAAAACACTGTAGAAAGTGCTCTTGAGCCACTGTTTGTATTCTATGTGGAACTGGTAAAATACTGTGTGTGCTACACAGCTGATAAGGTACCTGAGAGTATTAAATCTCAGGATGACAGTGCTGGAGCAGTTTGGCTTTGCTCCATCTGTTTATTTAGTTCATGGGGTTTTATTTCTATCAGTTAAGAGAAGGAGCTTAATACATTATTTCCACCTAGCTGAACATTTGTGGTATATAAACACTCTAAACTCACTGTAAAACAAAGAGTTATGATACTGAATTGAGTTTTCATTTCTTGCCTGTAGGAGAAAGCAGTGGATCCCAAAACACGTTTACTTCTTTACAAGATGGTCAATGCTGGGATGCTGGAGACCATCACAGGCTGCATCAGCACAGGAAAAGAATCTGTTGTGTTCCATGCATATGGAGGAAAGTGAGTATAGTGTTTGGTACTGACAGTAGCTTTAAGGACCAAAGTTGATTTAAAAAGCAGAAACCACAAAAATATTTAAACAATCTGAACTCGTTTCATTCCCAAGACTTAAAGTTTGTATTCATGTGTAGGCAGATAATAATAAAAGTTGAAAACCAAATGGGGATTTTTTACTTTATGGCTGGTACCACTTTCCTCCTTGGAGACCATTTAATGAAGAGGGAGAAATCCAGTACAGCTTTCTGTGGAAAAATGTGTACTGCTTTTATAAAAAAACTCTTGAGATTCTGAGGAACTTTTTCCACTGACTATTTAGTCTATTTAGTTAGCATCTAATTTATTTAGTTGGCAACATAGCAAAATGCTAAACTCCAAATATTCATACATAAGCTTAATCATAGAACTCTTACAAACTTAACTTGGATTACTCCCAAATCTGATAGAAAATCAGGTCTTTTCCTTAATTATATTAAAAATAACTGTATCTTGCCACCTTTAAAAGAATAAACAAAGATGTGAATCGTTAACCTCGTTACATATTTCACCTTTTCCATGAGAAGTGCAACAGAAGAGAAGGTGGTACCTGCAGAATGTGCCATCAAAGTGTTCAAAACAACCCTCAATGAGTTCAAGAACCGTGACAAGTACATCAAGGATGACTACAGGTTCAAAGATCGCTTCAGTAAGCTGAACCCAAGGAAGATCATTCGGATGTGGGCTGAGAAAGAAATGCATAACTTGACAAGGTAAAGCTAGAAAAGGCATTGCCAAATGCCTGTTGGTTGCCTGGTCTCTTTTTAAGGGAGATACACTACCTAGGGGTAGAAGTTTAGGTTGGATTTTTAGGTTAAATAATACAGTCTTCCACAGATTCATTAAGCTCTCTGGTTTCTTGAATGAGTTGCCAACATTTTCAGTGATCTGGCAGCAAAACTTAAAAGCTTGTGAAGTTAACAGGCTCTAGCTAGAAAAGTGGTTTTCAGTGAGCATTTTTAGACCTACTTATGACTTTAAGAAATGTATTTTCCTGTGTGAAACACTTTGAGATATATATTTATTCCATTGTCAGTTAGGTCTGTTACAAAGTTTGTGGTGTTTTGTTTTGTTTTGTTTTTATTTTGGATCAAGTTTCTCAGGCACAGCTCTCTTAAGATTGCAAATGAGCAAGCAGGGACTGGAACTATAAGGTTAAGCAGGGACTGGAACTATAAGGTTAAGGAGGGACTAGAACTACAGGGTTTTGTGGGTTTTGTTTTTCTTAATCAGTGTCTTTTCTGATCCACAGAATGCAAACTGCAGGAATTCCTTGTCCTCAAGTGGTTATCCTTAAGAAACACGTCTTGGTTATGTCTTTCATTGGCCAGGATCAGGTCCCAGCTCCTAAACTGAAGGATGTGACACTTAGTAGTGAAGACATGAAAAAGGCCTACTATCAGATTCTTAATGTAAGAGAATACTGATGATTTAACCCCTTCCAATTCTGGGTTGTGTTTTCTTTTAGGGGAATAATTTGAAGGAGAGATCAGCATCTACTTTTCAGGGTGATTGGATCACTTTCAAGATGTGGAGCCCAAAGGCTTATTTTGTTGCTGTTTCATGTGTGATTTAGACTAAGTAAGAAAAACACATACTAAAAAATAAATACTAAAATAGAAAAAAAGTAATAAAATTCATCTTAATCTGAGTGGAAAATATGCTGGAACTTGATGACAAAGAGATACTTAGCAGCAAGGGATTATGAGCAAGTAAAATCTCCTTTTATAGGCACAGTCTGTGGTTTAAGAAGTTCTCCAAAGTCTTTCTGGGCTTCCCAGTACTTAGTTTATAATGCTTAAACACCCTCCAGTGGATAGCCCCTGACCCACCCCCTTTTTTTAGCAAGTTTAGAAAGTGGAGAATGAATTAGAATATTTCATGGTGGATACTTAACTTTCCTATTATCTGCAGTAATTGTTTCAAACCTGTACCTGCTGACTCTCCACTCACTCTTAGCTTCCTGCAGACACTGAAAGAAAAAGACACTGACCAGCCCAGCAGCTTGAATTATGAGTGGTCTGTGCCTCAGATCTTGAGACCAGCAGAGCAGCACAACCACAAGTTAGGATTCAGTATCTAAAGCTGTCAGGCTCCTTTCCTGTGTGATAGGAGTGAGAATTTATCTGTCTCATGCACTTGGACTGGCTGGCAGAGCTGATGTGAGTTTCCCAGACTGACTCTCCTGGCTTGCCAAAGCCAAGCTTAGTGATAAAAGCTTAATTTGCTGGCAGTGTACCAGGACTATGATTCCCTGGGTGGAACTTTATTGAAGACTTGGAAAAAAATGATGTAAATTGGATGGGTGATTGGGGAAAGGCTTTTTTTTTCCTTAATAGTCATGGCACTGATATTTCTTTGGAATATAGCATCCTTCATTCATTAATTTGGTTCCTTGCAGATGATGCAACAGTTGTATAAGGAGTGCAACCTGGTCCATGCAGATCTGAGTGAATACAACATGCTCTGGCATGATGGGAAGGTGAGGGCATTTCCCACGTGGGAGGGGAAGGTTTCATCCCATGTGAAGTGCTGATGCAGAGTGAATTGCTGTCCCTCTGTGCCTACAGGTCTGGCTTATTGATGTCAGTCAGTCTGTGGAGCCAACCCATCCTCATGGGCTCGAGTTTTTGTTCAGAGACTGCAGGAATGTTTCACAGGTAGGACTTCTGGCAGTATTCTGTTCTACTGAATGTGTTCCAAGATAAAATCCATTCAGAGCTAGCTAAAAATACAACTTTAAAAATTGATCCCCACCACATGCATAGACAATTGCAAATTTTCCCTGCTGGTGTCCTCCAAAAAGGGAGGAGTGTGGAAGAATAAAACAGCACCACTAGAATTAAAACTTCCTTCAGTTTTTATCTGAAGGTCAGCAAAATCAAAACTACCATTTTAACTCATTGTGGTTCTAACCTGGAGAAGGAAGAGGAGTGTGTTTTGTGCAGTGAGATGTTTAATGTGTGCTTCTCCTGTGGAGCAGTTCTTCCAGAAGGGAGGTGTGGCAGAAGCACTCAACGAGCGTCAGCTCTTCAACGCTGTCTCGGGCTTGAATATCACAGCTGACAACGAAGTGGACTTCCAGGCAGAGGTACAGCTTTCTCTGTCTCTAACATTTTAACTGCCCTGGCTGCAGTAGCTCTTGTGATACCTCAGCTACTCATCTGGAGTTTGTATCAGCAAAAATTTAGTGATCTCTTTTAGTTCACAAGCTACGAGCTTGGTCGTCTCCCTTACATCAAAGGTTGTGCAGAGAGAATGAAAAGCTGGGTTAAAAGTAATGGTTCTACTCCTTATTTTTCATGCTTTAGATTTTTATCTTATTTAGATTTTTATCTTACTTTATTTAAAGTTGAGGCTAAAGTGAGCATTGAGGTGCAGGGTGGGATTTTGTTGCTGTTGTTTTATGCCATGTTTTGTACTTGTAAATTTTATGGGAAAGACAGGAATATGATTAGATTTTTATCTTACTTTATTTAAAGTTGAGGCTAAAGTGAGCATTGAGGTGTGGGGTGGGATTTTGTTGCTGTTTTATGCCATGTTTTGTGCTTGTAAATGGGAAAGACAGGAATATGAGTTTACAGAGAGGTGAATTTGAGCAGCCCATCCTTAAACTTCAGGCTTTGACTTGGGTTAAGCCTTTTTTTTGTTGAGAGCAGATGTTTCAAGCTGTACTTCCAAAGTCTGTTGCTCTGTGCATGTGGCAGAACCACAGAAACAGGAATATTGTGTATAGCTGATCAGTCGTTTGAAGCTACCTTTTAACACTGCTTAGAAACATTCTGGCTCAGGCTGTGAGGATTTCAGCACGGGTTTATTTTTGGCTCTCCAGATTGAAGCTTTGGAGAAGATGAATGAAGACCACGTGCAGAATCATGGCAAGAAACTGTCGATGTTCTCCAGCGATGGGGACCCACCTATATCTGATGAATAGCACTGAGTGTACAGCTGCCAACAAAACACAATGTACTGCTTCTGACCACGTGGGTGCAGTGGTAAATGTCAGCTCCTAATGTCAAGAGAGGGTGATGGACTGAGAATACCAAAATGGAACACAGAGTGAGCATAGGGTGAGGCCTCTGTGGGTTGTTTTTAATGTAGCCCCCACAGCAGGCTGGCACTGTGAGAACAGGCTGTCACTACCTCTTCAGGTCTGACAACTTCACCAGTTGTCCAGTTACATTAGACTAATGTAGTTGAGGTGCTCCTGTTTTGCATGATTCAGAGCTTATATGCTTTAGGTTTTTTTGTTTGAAAGTAAATTAAAAACCATAAATGATAAAAATCATAAACCCCATCTCATTAAAACCCATAAGTATTTAGTGGGAAAGCACACTAGGGCAATCTCTTCTTATTTTCCTACTGCTGCTTGAAAAACTAATTAAAAATTGTGTATGGACACAATGGCAATGAAACTTTCATCCTTCCCTAAGAAGGGCAAAATGAAAATTCAAACTCTGTGCTGCAGTCTTAGGAAAATGTTAATTTTAAAAAAGAAAGTCCAAAAGTCTGGACCTTTTTTCTTTTGAAGGACCTGGAATGTGGCTCTAGTGATCTGTGTAAATACAATCAGGTATGACATGAGAAACAGATCTGAATCTAAGCAGCAGAGAGACAAATGGTTCCAAGAGCTCAGTGACAGAGAAAAAAAATATCTAAATTCTTTCTAATCATCCTGTCTCTAAACTGAAATTCTGGGCAGAGCATCAAACATTCAAAGATAATCATAGGCTATGAAAACTAGATGCTGAGTTGCCCTTATTTTAAAACAAAGCTTTTTGTTTTCACGTGCAAAAAGAATTCTCAACTTTTGTCTTTTTCTTATTCTTAATGCCAGTCCCTTTATTTCAGCAGGTTCTAAAAATCAGCATTTTTTTCCCCAAAACAACACATTAAAGAGGAAACTGATCTAGCTGGATGGTTTGGAGTTAAATTCTGATCTTTTTTTTAACTCTGCTGTTTCTGCTGCTGCTCTTTATCAAGCAGGTTATAGTGTTGCTACATGTGACATTCTCACAGTGTGCTGTGGAGGTGATTTTTTTTTAGAATTTTTGTTATTGTTGGAAAACTGGTGGCAAAGTAAAACCTTGAGATCTTTTGGGTGGTGTTGTTGAGTGGTTCTTTGCATCGTGAAGGCCTTTGTTGATCCTCAGTGCTGCACCACAGCAGTGTTGGACTGTGACTAGTTCAGTAGAACAACAGAAAAATCACTGTTTTGGCCAGTTTTATTCCAATATTGAATCCTCTTTCCTAAATGAGGCAGTTGTCTTGCTTTTCCCCCTGACTTTTGAAAGAAAGGAACTTAAAGGAGACTTAGATCTTTTCCTCTGCCAAGAAATGAGACTTAAAAGGTTTAATGCTGAAACCTCACAGTGTGCTTGTGTAGGGATTAGGGAAGATGCTGATTGTTGTAGATATTTGCATCCAGTGAAAGAGCAGAAGCAGGAAGAGAGGGGAGGGTGATTTTGGAGCTGTCATGTGAAATGCAGGTGGTTGCTTCTGTCCTTGTGCTTGGACTGGAGCCTCAGTTCCTGTGGTCATTTTTAATCTCTTTCTAAAATCTTTCTAGCACGATTGAAGATAAATCCAAATGCACAAAGAAAACCCAAATAAATGAAGCCACGATCTTCAAGTCTGTGATTTAAAGCTGCTGGGCCTGATTTATATTGTCTAAACATCTTTTCCAGCAGTAAAATGGGCTCAGGAATTTGCTGTGGGAGTTTCAGACATCTGGGCACGATGCCAAGTAGCTGCAAACCAGGAAGAAGCTGCTAAAACAAGCATTTTCTTGGAATCCTTTTGGGTAAAAGGTTCTAGAATTATTCCTAAGCAAACAGAAAACTTAGGAGTCAATCTAGCTTAATTAACTTTTATATATTATTTCCTTCTCATGGCTATTTCAGTGGCTATTTCTAAAACTCACAATTTCCAGTTGTGTGTTGATTCTCCTCTCTGTACCTCTTTTCTTTACTTAATTTTAATATCCATTTTAATATGCAATTACAGAAGGTGCCTCCTGTCCTGCAGGAAGTTTTACAGGAGATATCAGTAGAATTTCTTAAATTTTGACCTTGAATGAACTAAACTTTTGGCTAACGTGCAACGAATTTGTTAAATATAAATTTAAATATAATTTTATTTAA